AATCTTCCTCCTTCTGTCTCCTTTCTAACCATGCCTTCCCCACACTATCTCAGCATTCCAGACTTGCTGATTTTCAATCAATTCTCTAAAGGCAATATGAATTCTCCCACCTCCACGCCTTTGTTTCTACTCTTTCCTAATCTTTGAATGCCCTTCTCGCCTCTTCCTCTCTCTGGCTACCTTCCCCAGGATGTCTCCCCGAATGCACCCCAACATGTGTCAGTTGCTCCCTCCAATCTCAGTATATCCTCCATAGGTGCACAGACACCTGTACCCATGTCTGCCTCCCCACTGCACCATAAGTGCCCTGGGTTGGGGACTGACCCACAACAGGTGTCTATCACTGTGTGCTGAATGCATGGATGGGTGGGTTACACCCCACACCCAACAGGGGGCCCCTTCACTGATACCCTAAGATATGGGTGATTATATCCCTGGGCCTTAGCGTCCCCACCTGTCAAATGCCAGGGAGGCCCCTTCCAGACCCAAGATTCTGCTATTATATCCCTCTGGAAGTATTCAAGGGATAGCACCTTGAAATTAGAAGAGAGGGGTCAGAACAGGGTTCAAATCCCAGAGCTTCCACCTACCTCATCTCCAAGGCCAGGCAAGTCATTGACCTCCCCACACCTCAGATTCCTTGGCTGTAGAAGGGGCTAATGTTCTTCACCTCCAGGAAGCTGAGAGGATTGAGCCCTAAGGCACAAGAGGGGTTAAATCTTGACTCTGCCATTGGGCAGATGACTTAATCCCTCAGTGCCTCACTTTCCCCATCTACGAAATGGGAACAATTACAGCTGGGTTGTCAGGTTGCTCTGAGTCTGAAACTGCATTCACCCAAGTAAATACACTGCACAGAGCCTGGCACACAGTAGGCACCTGTGACAGCCGTGGAAGGGGCGCTCAGTCTCTCTTCAAGAAAGAACTTGTCCTTCAGCCATGAGAACAGTGAGCTGACAGCATCCAGCTGCAGCCCCTTCAGGATCCATCTCGGCTTTTGAGCCCAGACCATGTTCTTCCCAGGCAATCCCAGCCAGACTCAGCCAGCAGGACAAGCAGGACCCAGACATTTCTGTCCAATGTGGGGTTCCTATAACAAGTGATCTTTACTCCAGAGCTGCCCATTGGGTGGACTTTGCCAAACCTGCACCATGGTCTCAGGTGTTCCCTGCCAATCCTGCTTCCTTCCCCTTTGCCCTTCGTAGGCATCATGTCCCAGTAAACCTCTTACTCTCCTAACTCCATCTCAGTATCTGCACCTACGGGGACCCAAACTGGAATACCACTCAATGGAGAAGGGGTTCTCAAAGTGTGTCCTCAGAAGCAGCAGCGTCAGCAGCAGCTGGGAACATGTAAGCCATGCACATTCTCAGGCCATGCCCTGCACTTGGGGGTGGGGCCCAGCAACCTGCATTTTAGCAAATCCTCCTGGTGCGGTCAACTTTGAGAACTGCTGTCATGGAGGAGAGCTCTTGTTAAGACATGACAGTAGCAGTGTGGCCGTGTGTGTGTATTTTGTGGGGAGGAGAGAATGTTTTATTACAGTCCAGCAATTCCACCCCCCAAGTCCCTCCCTCATTTATTTCAAAAATCCTGAGAAACAGACCAACCAGCCTCTCTCCCTACCCCATTCAGGGAAAAGGTCCAGTCCCAATGTCCAGCTGGAAACGCCACAGGCCCCAGTTTGTAAGGCTGCACACAAGCCCTGCCTTCTTTCCTTCCGCCCCGAGGCTCTCCTTCTCCCATCTCTCCCCAGGACACTTGCCCACCCACCTGCCTCCCCTTTGTCTGCCAATCTGTCTTCATCCCAAGATGGGCCCTGGCCTCAGCTAGTCTGAGCTCCACCTTCAGGACCAGGAGAGAGGCCTCTGTGTCCCCAGCTGCTTCTCACTCAGCCTGGGGAAAGGTCCGGGAGAATGGTTCATGCCACCCTCTTCACTCCCCTCTCCCAACGTGTGGCCCAGGTGAAGCCCCTTCCCCAGCCTACGCCAAAAATTGCCCCTTCTTATGGGAGGCAGTCTTCAGGGCACTCAAAGGTTCACCATGGGACAAGTGAGGAAACGGGGACAGAGAGGTGCAGAGGCTTGCCTGAAGTCACACAGCAAGACAGGGAACAGCCAGGATTTGGCCCTTGCTCTCACTTTCCACCTCAGCTTCCCACTCCCAGGCCCCAGCATGACATGTGGCAGGTGACGGTTTCAAGATGGTCACATGTGACAGGGACATTGGTAGGCCTGGAAGATCAAGACCTTCGGGAGCTCACAAAAGCAGCCACAGCCTGGCCCTATGGTGTGGTGGTGCCGCATGCCTCTTTCTCTAGTGGGCATGATCCTCATCCTTCTCACTGATGCCACAGCCCCACGAGCAAAGCTCAGAGGCAGGTGGACACTGGCCAGGGGTCACCTAGCTGCCTTCACTTTCTAAACTGGCAGTAGCGAGGTGATACGTTGGCACCTTCCTTTATGAGTGCTCAGCTCATCCGCCTTCCAGCCCCGCCTCAGGGAACTCTGGAATGTCAGGGCCAGAATAACTGCAACAGCAACAACAGACACTCACTATGTGGCAGGAATGGCAAGCAAGTGCTCCTCACACATGGTCCTATCTAACCCTTACCAGGAGCCCGTGACAGACACGCAGTTATCAGCTCCATTCTAGCAGCATTAACAGAGAAGCCTAGATGCAAAGTCCCTCAACCCAACTGCCCTAGACCAACTCCTCTGTTTCATAGATGGGGAAGCTGAGGCCCAGAGAGATGACGTGATTTCCCCAAGGACACACACTAGTCAGTGTCAGAATCAGTTCGTTCATACAGCACCTCAAAGTTTTTCATGCTCTTATGTCCTCTCAAGAAGGAAAGGCTTTCTTTTGTTTAATGGTTATCATTTCGGGATGCTTATAGGATGTGCCAAGCACGGTTCTAAAAGCTTCTCAAAAATTTACTCATTTAATGTTCACAAGTACACTGTGAAGCAGGTACATTTATTATCCCCATTTTGCAAATGAGAAAAGTGAGGCACAGAGAGCTTAAGTAACCTGTCCAAGGTCACACAACCAGGATTCAAATCCAGGCAGTGTGAGGTTTTAACCACTATGTTGTCTTGTCCTTTTTACCATTGAGAAACATGAAGCTCAAAGAGAGGACATGACTTGTCTAAGGCCACACAGCTAGAGAGTGGGGAGGCTGGACTGGAGCTCAGGTCTCCTGCCCCCAAGCCCAGTGCTGGTTCTCTTCCACATTTGCTAATTAACAAGCACTGGTTGGGAGCCTTCTTTGGCCAGGAGGTCTGCTGTAGCTCTCCCACCAAGAAGGAAACACACACCCGAAGTACAGAGGGATGAATGGGTTCACGGAGGTATCAGAGGCAGCTGTGTGAGTAGCAGGCAGGACACTGACCCACCCTGGGAGGCTTCTGGAAGCCTGATCCTTGAGTCAAGTCTCCAAGTTCAAGTGGGAACTTTTCTGGAAGGACACTATGAAAAAGGACATTCCGGACTGAAGAAACAGCATGTGCAAAGGCTGGAGGTGTGGAAGAGAGTGTAAATTGCTGTGAGGAGTGCCTTTCAGCCCCAAGCAAGGGTGGGGACAGAAGAGGGTGACCAAGGAGGAGCACAGAAGGTCCCTGAGAAAGTCAGGATACTGGAGCACTCACCACAAATCTGCCCTTGCCTCACAGTGACTTTGGTGTACCCATTTATAAGATGGGGGTGGGCATGGAATGGTGGGGGTCTAAGGACTCCGCTAGCCCAAAGTCAGGATGGCTTTGAATAGGAGGACAGTTTTGATGTAAGGGTGGGAGGCATGGGCAGGAAAAGCATTCCGGAAAGAGGGACCCACAGGAGCAAAGGCCTGGAGAAAGAAAATGCAGGGCAAATTTTAGAAATGATAAGGAAAGAATGTGGCTGCTGTAGAGGGTCCATGGGATGGTGTAGACAGAGGAAAGCATGTGAAGAAGTTATATCACTCTGGACTCTTCAGTTACAAGTGATAGGAAGAGAAGAAAAAAGAAATTATTGATTTATATAACTGAGAGGCCCAGGACACTGGCTTCAGGCACAGCTGGATCCAGGTGCTGACATGTTATTGGAAGGACCCTGTCTCTCCCTCCATCTAAGCTTTAATTTTTTATTGATGATTTCACTCTCAGGTAGGCTCTAATCTCAATGAGGCAAAAGTGGCCACTACTAGTCCCGGAAATTATCACACAAACTATACTTCTGGTGGAAAGATTCCCAGTAGTCCCAAAAAAGCCTCAGAGAGGACTCTTGCCAGACTTACCTCCTAGAACTGTCATGAAGATTAAAGTTAGACAGCTTTGGGCCGGCCCGGTGGCGCACTGCTACAGTGCACCGCTTGGGAGCGCGGCGGCGCTCCCGCCAAGGGTTCGGATCCCACATACAGACCGGCCGCTCACTGGCTGAGCGAGGTGCGGGCGTAACGCTGAGGGTTGCGATCCCGTTGCCTGTCCCGGTCCGGTACGGGCGTGACACTGAGGGTTGCGATCCGTTGCCGGTCACGAAAAAAGACAAAAAAAAGGGAGGAAAAAAAAAAAAAGTTAGACAGCTTAGCTCAATGCTTGGTACACAGTAAGCGTTCAGTCTTTGCTATAGCTCAGCCAAAAACCTTGGCATTATCGTGGACTCCTCTTTCCCTCACACCTAAGATTAAATCTATCTGCAAATCTTGTTGGGTCTACCTGTAAAAGAGATCCAGAATTCACCCATTTCTCCCCATCTCCATTGATGACACTCCACTGGTCAAAGCCAGCCTCATCTCTCTATTTTATTTTTTAAATTAAAGTATTACATTCATATAGAAAAGAACAAAATCCAGACGTGTACATCCAGCTCAGTAAATCTTCACACAATGAGCACATGCTGTAACCTCCCCCAGATCAACAGAAGCCTCCCTCATTCCCCCTCCCTCCTAGTATGTGTCTTCTTGTGTGCCTGAGTCACCATCTTTTCTCACCTGTTTTAGTGCATTGGTGCCCGGCAGGTCTCCTGCTTTTACTCCTGCCCCTTCAGTTCATTCAGTCAACTCAGAGATCCTGTAAACTGAAAGTCAGAGATGTCCATCCTCTGCCCCAAACCCCAACCCCGTTGACTCCCATTTCATTAGATGTAAAAGCCAAAATTCTTACCATGGCGTGCAAGGTCTTACAGAAGCTGGCACCTCATCCCATCTCTTGCCCCACTTTCCCCCAGAGCCCTCAGCTCCAGCCATCCTGGCTTCCTGCTGTTCCTCAAACATACCAGGCACACTCTCAGACATGCACACAGACCATTGTACTTGCTGTTCCCACTGTCCGGAACCCTCTTCCTCTTGCCACCCCCATACCCTCATGGTTCACTCCATCATCTCCTTCAAGTTTGTGTTCAAATGTCACCTTTTGACATCTGCTTCCACCCAGGATTTAACTTCCTGCTTGAGACAACCAAAAAAAAAAAAAAAACAGGTAAAATATATGAAAGGTACTTTTCAAGACATCAGGCATCAGGCAAGGAAGGACTGTGATCCCTGAAAAATGGGGAACAAACAATGTGAGCCCTATGATCACCCCAGTTTACCACCTGGGGAAAGTTTTCAGATCCTAGTGCAGAGAGGCAGAACCTAGCAGACACCCAGAGTTAAGGAAATGGAGCTGAAGGTCCAGGAAGGACATGGAGGGAAGAGTTTGAAGGACAGAGGAGAGTGTTGCACAGAAACAGAATTCCAGATATCTGAACAGGGTCCCCCTTGAGTATTAGGCTGACCATTGGTTGGTACTTTGGTGTGACAAAACTAGTCTGGACTGGGAAAATTATCTACAAAGACTAAAGAACAGTGCCAAGCACTCACACAGAACCAAAAATAGTGTCAAACAGAAGAAACTCATAATTCCTAGGGCACTGGTTAGCACACTCAGGAAGATCTTTTCTCAGTGGTAGGAAATAATTAGCCCTCAACAGAGCACTGCTCTGGCCATACCCAACAAACACAAAAGCAAGATTAGAAAGGATCAAACTGTTTCCAAGTAACTTAATTTCACCTCAGAGCAAAACTCAAGAATATTTATAAAAATATATGACATCCAACAAGTGTAAAATTCACAATGTCTGGCACCCAAAGTTTACCAGGAATGCAAAGAAGCAAGAAAATACGGCCCATAATGAGAAGAACAATCAATTAATCAAAACTGACCAAGAACTGACAGAGAAATAGAGGACAAGAGCATTAAAATAATTGTTAAAAGTGTATTCAAGGGCCGGCCCGGTGGCGCACTGCTACAGTGCACCGCTTGGGAGCGTGGTGGCGCTCCCGCCGAGGGTTCGGATCCCATGTGAAGACCGGTTCCCGCTCACTGGCTGAGCGCGGTGCGGGCGCAACACCGAGGGTTGTGATCCCGTTGCCGGTCCCCGGTACAGGCGTGAAACTGAGGGTTGCGATCCTGTTATCGGTTAGTAAAAAAGACAAAAGGAAAAAAAAAAGTGTATTCAATATGTCTGTATGTTCAAAAGTCAAAGAGAGAAGGGCCGGCCCGTGGCTCACTCGGGAGAGTACGGTGCTGATAACACTAAGGCCACAGGTTCAGATCCTATATAGGGATGGCCAGTTAGCTCACTGGTTGAGCGTGGTGCTGACAACACCAAGTCAAGGGTTAAGATACCCTTACCAGTCATCTTAAAAAAAAGTCAAAGAGAGAAGGGCCGGCCCGTGGCTCACTCGGGAGAGTACGGTGCTGATAACACTAAGGCCACAGGTTCAGATCCTATATAGGGATGGCCAGTTAGCTCACTGGTTGAGCGTGGTGCTGACAACACCAAGTCAAGGGTTAAGATACCCTTACCAGTCATCTTAAAAAAAAGTCAAAGAGAGACATGGAAGATATAAAAAGACCCAAATTGAACTTCTAGAGATGAAAACTACACTGTCTGAAATGAAAAATATGCTGACTAAACATGGCAGAAGAAAAGATTAGTGAATTTGAAGACATAGTAAATAGAAACTACCCAAAATCAAGCACACACACACACAGAAAGAATCCAAAATAAAAAACAAGAAGAGCATCAGGAGCTGTGAGACAACTTCAGGAAATCTAAGATACATGTAATTGGAGTCCCTAAAGAAGAGAAAATATTTGAAAAAGAATGGCTGAAAATACTCTAAGTTTGCTGTAAACAACAAACTCAGAGATCCAAGAAGCTTAACAAACCTAAAGCACAAGAAACAGGAAGAAAATTACCCATCATGATCAAATTGCTCACAACTAGTGACAAAGAGGAAAATATTAAAAACAGTCAGAGGGAAAAAGGATTGTTTAGCAAAGGGAACAAAATAAGGATGATGGCAGATTTCTTGTTGGATACAATATAAAGGAGAAAACAGTGGAGCAATATCTTTTAAGAGACTGAAAGATAAAAAAGTTGCCAACCTAGAATTCTACACCCAGTTAAAATATCTTTCAAAACTGAAGGTGAAATAAAGATACAAACCAATCTGCACCACAAGAAATAATAAAGGAAATTCTTCAGGCAGAAGGAAAATGATACCAGGTGGAAATCTGAATCTGTACAAAGAAATGAAGATCACTAGAAATGTTAATTATATGAATAAATATATAAGATTATAAGATTTTGTTCTTACCATTTAAGTGTCTTTAAAAGACAACGTATTCTCCTCCTTGATTTGGCTGGGAAAAAAAGAAAAGTAAATTTACCATTGAAACAAAAAATAATATTTTTATGGAGTTTGCAATATATACATAAGTAAAAATGTATGGCAACAATAATATATAGGTTAGGAGGAGAGAAATAAAAGTATGCTATTGTAGGGTTCTTATACTATATACATGATGTGGTATAATATCACTTGAAGATAGACTGCAATAAGTTAGAGATATACACTATAAATCTTAATGCAACCACTAAAATAATAAAACAAATGATAGCTAATAAGACAACAAAGGAGGCAAGATGAAATAGTAAAAAATACTCAATACAAAACAAAGCAGAAAAAGAAAAACAAAGAACAGATGGGACAAAAAGAAAACAAATAGCAAGATGATAGACTTAAATCTAACCACAGCAATAATCGCATTAAATGTAAATGGTCTAAACACCCCCAATTAAAAGGCAGATGTTGTCAGATTGGCCTTTTTTGAAAAAAGGATACAAATATGTGCCACCATGGGGCAGGGGGGGAAGCACACTTTAAATATAAAGTACACAAGTTAAAAGTACAAGGATAGAAAAGGATATGCCATACTAACACTAATCAAAAGAACACTGGAGTGTCTAGATTAATATTAGACAAAGCTGTTTTCAGAGCAAAGAATATTAGCAAGAATAGATAATTTCATTATGAAGTGACAAAGAGGTCAATTAAGAGCACATAACATTCCAAATATTTATGCCTCTAATAGCAGAGATTCAAAATACATGAAGCAAAAACCAACAGACCTGCAGGAGAAATACAAAATTATTGATTGAGATCTCAAATCTCAATAATTAAAAGAACAAGTAGAAAGAAAATAAAGTGTCACTTTCTCAGTGAGTCCTTTAAATTGACCATCGATTTTAATTGTACCCTCCTTGTTCCCTATACCTCTTTCCTGCACATATCACTTTTTAATGAAATATTTATTTGTTTGTTTATTTTTATTTTTATTAATTTATTTGTATAATGCCTGGAGCAGTGTCTGGCACTTAGAAGATTCTCAAAAAAAATACTTATTCAACAAAAACATAATTGAAAGAAAGTTAGTATTATTATGACTAGTTATGTGACTCTGCATATAGTTTTTCTCTATTGTTATTTGAATGGGTAGACCCCAACAAAATTAATATTGGAGCCTCAGAATTCTAGAACATAAAGGCAGAAATTATAGAACTCCAGAATGTCTGTGAAAGATAAATAGGATGTTAACATTCTAGAAAGTCTGAAGACTACAATGTTAGAATTATAAGATATTTAAGCCAGAACATCAGAATCAGGGATAGAGTTGATGAAGGAACTAAACTTGGTTTGCTTGGGGGCGGTGGGGGGGGGGTCAGAGCCAAACAGCACTTTTTTTTATCTCACCTGCTGCTTCTGGGTGTCCCCTAACTTTAGTATCCATAAGGAGGAGTCCATTCAGCTAACCTAGACCAGCAAGGCAAAAGGACTGAGAAATTAGTCACCCACGGCTTCAGGAGCTGCAGGAATGAGGAGTAAGGGGGCGGGGGTGAGGGGGAAGGGAGGCTGTATTTCTCTATTTTAATTCAGCTCCTGTTCACCAGGCCCCTTCTGGACTGTGGGCTCATGAGGCATTGCCGTCATGCAAGACTGGAAGTTGTCATTATCAGAAGGAACCACCACCACGTCCTCAGGGATAAGGGGGAGGCCTGCTCAATGTCCTAGGGACCCTGCCCCATGGCTACAGAACTGGCTGGAGGCTGGGAACTAGAGACAAGGCTACATAAGGGTCAGGGTGGCCCTACGTCTCTAGGCCCAGAAGTGTGGCCTTCATTGCTTTGGCAATGGTACATGTTAGTGATGTGAGGGTGGGGGTCCAGCAAGTGGGGCCCACCCACCTAATCAGTGGTCCTGCTTTGTTTTTATCTACAGCTCTCACCACCCCCTGCCCTGCCTCATGTCTTATATGTTTATTACATTCCTCAGCCATCTCCCCAACCAGACAGTGGGTCTGTGAGGGGAGCCTGCAGCTTCAGCTTTGCTCACACCTGGCCCTAGCCCCTCATAGTGTGACTCCATATATCAAAGGTTCAATCGGTGCTGCACTTGGACTGAATGGGTGAAGCTGCTTGCCCAGCCCTGCGCATAGGGACTCTTCACACACCCAGTCACACCTGTCTTTTTCCTTCTCTTTCCTAGTGAAGGCTGTGAATCCTCTACCCCAAAACTCACACCCCTTTCATACTGGTGCAGACACTTGGAGGGCCACAGACACACACACACACATGCGCACACACACCCGAGCCCCATGCTCTCCGTGGACAACAGATTTTGAGCCAGGCACTTGTCTACCCCACTGGCCCAGGTGAAGGATGACACTCATGGGCCTCTTTCCAGCATCATCAGGTTTCTGGAAGGAAAATCACAGAAAAAACCTAGAATCTGCACTTGCAAGCACCACTGTCTACCCAGCACTGTGCTGACATGGTCTCAGCCCCTCACCTCCACCACCCCTGGACACAGAGTGGTCACCTGACACTCACATGACCCCTCGCAGCAAGCAGGGAGCACTTTCTGAACCACCGTGCTACTGACCTCCAAAACAGCCCCGGATTGACCCTCCACCTACGACCCTGGTTCTCAACATTACCTGAATCACAAGCTGCCTTTCTGAGGCTGGGTCAACTGCTGGCAAAGCCCCACATAAATACACAAAGGGGCACGATTCATCAGGCAAATTCCCGGGCACGTCCCTTACATCTCTTCCTTCCTCCCTCCCCGGTCCCTGGCCATTGGAGCCTGTAGACCCCCCAAGCCAATAACCAGGCGTTCCACACCTGGGGTACAGGATGGGTGGCAGGACCCCTCTCTTCTCTGGACGCTGCAGGGAACCACACCCACCCCCCTCCTCAAACCGTGCCGTTTCTCGTCCCCTTTCTAAATTAAAACCGCACTGCTTAATCGGCGTGTGTGTGCGCGCGCATGGGGGCTGGGGGGTCACTTCTCACACGTGGGTCGGGGTGGGGACTGGCTCCCTGCCCAAGAGTGAGACCCCTCCCCCAGCCCCCGGCCGCTGGAGGATTGTGAAGCTCAAACAGATGGACCGAGCCAAAGGGGCGGGGGCGCGCTGACGGGGTGCGAGACGGGCGCCCTGACAAAGGCGGGGGCCGGGCGGCGCGGGCCGCCTTATCAGCGCGGGCAGACCGGGCGA